TCCTCCTTCTTTCCCTTCTTCCCTCCCTCCCCATCTCATTAAATCACACCAATATTTCCACCTTAGGAGACAGTTGTTCCATGGATTTGGCTAAGTGAGCAAAGAGCAATTTGCATGTAGTAGGGGGTAGGGTGGGGAATCTGTTTAGATCTTTTCCAGGTGGACTTTGGAGAGGCGAGGGAGTAGTTTTTAACTGTTACCATGCAGGTGTTTTGATGGTACTGTGGCCCCTGGGTGATCAACCTCTCACCCTCTTGGCAAGTGTGATATAAACAGCGTCCTTACAAGGCCATTGCCACACTGTTTGCTTTGATTGCTTTGCTGGGAAATGTCAATGACTAGACAACATTTTCTGGGATGTCACCAAAGTCCTGGAATGACTGCTGCTAAGCACAGCAGAGAAACACTGAAGTCGCCTGGGTTCAGAATTATCCTAATAGTTCACATCCGAGATCCAGTACAGCAGCTTATTCTCATGAACCTAAATCATTAAGCCAGGGCCATCTTGCAGTCCTGTGGAGTTATGACCAGACAAGAGATGCTTAAGGGAGGTTCCATAGGAAGCATGAGGAGTCCCTGGGGACAACAGCTAAGCATCAACTAGCTAAAGCCAGAGGGAATGAGAAGCTTCCTTTCTTGAATGATGTTTGAATATGGAAGTATATTATATTTTGAATCTGACCATGTTGATGGATGTCTATACATCCCAGATCTAGGAAATGGAAGCAGGAGAGATCCTAACTGAAAACCAAAAACAAGCAAACAGCAACTTGTGCTATGATTGTGGGGAAGTTGAGCTGAACCTGGGCATCCTTGCATCACAAAGAAGTAAGTGGTGAGTAATATGTAAATTTCCAGGGTGACTTAAATGAACATGGCAGAGCTGGAGTGGGGCACAAACTGAGATGTATAAGTGGAAGAAAAAATAGAATAGGGACTTGTACTTATACACATGTGTATGTGGGTGATTTCATCTTCCATGTTCAATGTCTGATAATTTTATGGTTTATTTTCCTCAGTTAAATAAAGATAATATATGTGGATACCTTATGATGAGAAGCTCAGGAAGCATTCTCTTTCCCCACCAAGCTGGTGTTGCTCAACCCATAGATGTCTGTTATGAAGAGTAGGTAAATATGCAACCAATGTTGCTTATATCCATCTATCCATCCATCCATCCATCCATCCATCCATCCATCCATCCACCTCTCCATCCACCCACCTATCCCTCCATCCACCTATTCACCCATCTACCCACCCATCTACCCACCCACCCACCCACCCTTCCATCTACCCACTCAACCATCTACCTACCCATCTAATCATCCACCCACCTACCCATTTAACTATCTACCCATTCATCCCTTTTCTTCTGTTTCCTTTTCCAATCCATCACTGCATTGACCTCTGGCTCACTGATACTACCTAGTGGCAATTATAGGCATTACTTAGTTCAATCTTGGCATCAGTCTTTAAAGGATACTACAACAGCTTCACAAGGTGAGCTTCCGTATCAGGACTCAAGATTCAGAGCTGGGGGAATTCAAGAGAAGCCTGTACTGATAACCAGTGCTTGGTTTTCCTGATACTAGGAAGCTTGGTGAGAAAACCAGATTTGATTCTGGGGTTTTGGAAATTTTGCAAAAATATATTGTCTTACTGTGACATGCTGAGTTGACCTGGATGGGTCTGATAAACTGAGAGGAGCAAAGGTAGAGAACAGAGGTTGCTGAGATGGTAGATGTGACCAATAAGTAGATGAGCTCCAGCTCTGAAGTAGACACCACTATAAATCAGATGCTCAAAAGCAAACCACGTGTTTAGGAAGTAGGCCGTATTAGAGCATGACTAATGTATCAAACTTCCACTGACCTTGAAAAAAAAACACGTATTCATGACATGGTAAGAACAGGGACAAATCCAAACACTTCAGCATCATGAATGGCAGCTCTGGTTTTGGAGACAACACTTCTTGCTTTCTAGGTGGCAGTCCCAAGGAAGGCAGGTGTTCCACAGGGTTAGTGTCCTTGGAACTAACCTTGAATTAATTGCTGGTTTGATGCCATTCATCTGGTGGAGGCCTGAAACCAACAGACAATTAGAGTAGTGACACTGGAGATCTGGGTCATTTTAACTGCTTTTCTTATCTGATAACTGTGAGGTTGCTGATTGGTGTGACTTGATGCCAGGGAGATCTCCAGAGACTCTGATGATCACAAAGCAGGGGTATCCCTGTGTGATAACAAAACTACACAAAGCCTCCTGTTGAAACTTCACATTGGGATTTCTGGTTCCAAGTAGTTCCATGTACTTGTCACTGGGGAAAATACTTCCAGCCACAGCCCTTCCCGGGAAGGCACTAGGATTCTGAAACCTGTATCTTTGTACACTCTCCCTGTCATCATGGAAATCTACAGTTGTACTGTTCACAGCTTGGTGGAAACCCTAGGAGACAGAAATTAGAGGGAAGAGAGTTTTTTTTTTTTTTCACAGCTGGCTTTGAGAAACATGGAGGAGACATTTGTGTCTCAAATTTCCATCTTGAGGGATTTGGGTGGACAAAGAGCACTTATGAGACACAGAATGGAAAACAATAGGCAGATTGAGAGAAAACACAGGCAGAAGATTCCCAAATGGGGTACACTCCATCCTCCCAGTGAGTAGTCTCCTTTGCCTCCATCTCCTCTTTTGTAATCAGGACTGGGACTTCCAAGTCTGTGGCCAGCACTTGCATTTTCTTCCCAGACTTTTCTGGAAATAATTTCATATGAACTGAGAATAAGAGGAAGTATTACAGAAGGCCTTCTTTGGTGTCCAGAATGATACACCAAGATTTGAGTTGCTTAGAAAGTTTATGTAGGTGTAGAGACAAAAGGCCCCAAATGAAAGCTTTTTAGGGGGAAAAGACTAAAGCAAACAGGATTGGGCGGGGACTAAGAAGGTGCTTGGCATGTGGGGGATTGGCAGACACCGAGTTACTTCTGTAATAATGTCGTGTGGTGAAATGGTGAGCGGCTTTTACATCATTGTGTGATTTTCAGCTGAGAAATCCTACGAAACTCCCCTTCATCTGGTTTTGTTTCATAGTTTTAAGTAAGGAATCCTTGTAGCCTTGATTTGATGGTAGAGATTTAGGGATGAATCATTTGCTTCTAACCCTATTTTCATTGGAGTCCTCCTCTCAAAGACTCTGGCATGACACGTGGAACAGTATCCTGTCCATTGGTGCTGCCTATGGTCCAGGGTCAGGTGTGTCCACTCTTTCTGCTTTTGAGTAACTTCCTCTGTATTTGAGGTCACTTGGTGGATCCTCTAGATGTATTTCCACATGGCTGGCTTTCAGTATTCACAACTGGGGCTATTAGTACAACCCCAGAATACAGCATTTATCACCCCTGGCATTGGATGAGGTACTTCGAAGGAAATGAAGCAATTGCTCCAGTCACTAGAGAAATAAATGAAAAGAAAAGCAGTCAGAAGCCAGGTCCACCTAGCCCTAAGCTCATGCTGTCCTCTGGTATTGTAAGTCATGCTTAATATACAGTTGTCTTGTGCTTCTACACTGGTGAGGTTTTGTCCCGTGGCAGCAAAGGTCGGTCACCAGCAAACAAGTTCGAGTGGTAAAGCAGAGAAGACTTCCTTACTAAAACCACTGCTGGTGGGAAGGAGTTGTCATGTCATAGGAAGAGTCTGGATCCTTGGGGCCTGGATGGAAGGCTATAAGAAGACTGGGGACTTGGCACTTAAGCTATCTGCATCCACAGCTAGTTCTTTGTCAGCTATTGATTTTTGAACAGTACCCAGAAGAATTCAATGATGGTTTTCCCATAAAATTTTGATAGATTTATTTTTTCAGGTATATTTTAATTAACTAGAAAAAGTGTTAAACATCCTTTCGTAAACCAAATTTCTTTTGCCTTCACTTGCAAGTACATGAGACCCTCATGCATGGAAATCTGGAGCCCTGCAACAGCCTTGTTTTAGATTTATAAAACACATATGCTCATATGCTGTAAAATGGGCAAGGGACATGTGTGTATGTTTCCCAGCTGAGTGCCAAGTACAGATCAGGTATCTCCTTGTTCCCCATGCTGTTCTAGATGTATGAGCAACAATAAGCAAAAATGGAAGTTTTATATATATTCATATATATAAATTTATATATATAATTTTTGGTCAACTTGTTCATTCAAGTTCTTACAGCATTTTGTCTAGTTTATATTTATGATAAAGAGTAAAATATGTTAAACATTATTGCTAATTGGACCAAAATAATAATAAATAAAGGCTTAAAAAGCAGGAAGGAATTGAAAATTTGAATGGCTTAGTAAGTTTAGACTAGGATCTAGGCAAAATTCTACTTTTGGTCAGTAGATGGCAGTAGAAGCCAATAGCCATTTTAGTTACCCTTCAAAAATAAAGTCAGCATTTTTAGATGACCTACTATAGTATAGACAAGACACTTATCAAGGGTCTATCAAGGTAGGGTTGAGGAAGGTGATAGAATCTGAAGATAAATGAGAAGAGCCTTCTGAATTTCAACAGTTCCCAAGTCAGTAAGAGTAGGAAGGCTAAGGGACAGATTGCCATAGGTTAGGTGAGCATCTTTACAGGCTTGTCCTCTCTGAAGGACCCAGATGAGCTCAATGTGTTATAGGTGTGGACACAGGCCCAGCATGAGCCTATCTTCCCATTTTTTCAAGAGAAGCCAGAAATACAAACTTCAGTAAAGTTTACTGAGTTTTGAAAATGTCTTTATAAGTCAGTCTATTGTAAAGAACTTGTAAACAAACAAAAATAAATCACGAAGTTAGATTAACATAGCCACTCAAATAAGTACTTCCCAATCCGAGAGAGTGCACCTCTCAGTCAACTTCCTACACAGTTAGAAAAGACATCCGGAAGCCCTACAGCTTCCTGTTGCACTTTACACTTGCCATGATTTTGCGTGCGTGCATGCATGTGTGTGTGTGTGTGTGTGTGTGTGTGTGTGTGTGTATGTGTGTGTGTCTTTCACATCATGGTTCCTGATCCTGTCCACCTCCCTCCCCACCCCAAATAAAACCAAATATAAGATGGGGGAAGAAAGGAAGAAGGGCAAAATCTCATCCTGGAAGCTGCGGTGTGACACGGTGAGTCATGCAGTAAACCCCTTTATCCAAATATTTTTACATGTAGTTTACCGAAAAGAATCATTGATTTGGTTCAAGGCCCTGGTCTCTGCTATGCTATTAAAACTAGGTCCTCACTGGGACTCTTCCTGGACACCCTGTTCTTTCTGTCCTGTGTCATGGAGATCCTGCAGCCCTGAGTCCAAAGGATCCGGGGGGGGCCCCCCCACCCCACCCCCAGCTGTGCTCCATCAGGTCACAGATGGGGTGGGTGTTGGGACTTTCCCTGATTTTGAAACATAGGCATTTTCATGGTTTAGAACATGATGAATGAGGGCTGGAGAGATGGCTCCTTGGTTAAGAGTACTTGTTGCTCTTGCAAATGTCCTAGGTTTAGTCCCCAGTACAAGTGTTTACAACTGCTTGCAACTCCAGTGCTGAGCAATTTAATACCTTTTTCTGACCTCAGGCACACACACACACACACACACACACATACACACACACACACACACACACACACACACACACAGAGGCACACACACACATACACACAGGCGCACACACATGCACACGAGTGGATGTACATAGAGACACATGCACACACTCTAAATAGATGATAGATAGATAGATAGATAGATAGATAGATAGATAGACAGATAGATAGACAGACAGACAGACAGACAGACATACTTAGATAAGCAAGTAAGTAAGCAAGCAAAGAATAAAACAATCAATATATCTGAGGTTATGGGCTCTTTGGCTGTCACTTGGTCTGCATTCCAGAAAGTTATCTGTGAACTCTGTCCTGGTCTCTGCCATGTATGAGGTCCAGAGCTAAGAGTCCCCCCTTTTCTAATTCCCTCTATTATATGCATAAAGTTCTCCCAAGCACCTTTGGGAGTTGCACTTCCTGGGCTCTTCTGACTTAGGTTGCCCTCACCATCCACAGTCTGGTCAGTTAGGGCTGTGAGCACTCATTCTTAGGGTCCTTCTTGCATCTTGGCTGCATCAGTGTGAACATTTCACCACCCTGCAGGTATGCTAGTGCCAGAATATTTTACTCAGAAATTACTGGTTCTGTGAAAAACAATTTCCATACCCCTCTAGGTGGGGAGTGGGAGAGATGGAGGGAGGGAGGGAGTACTGGGAGAAATTACTGAAATTAGGGGGTCTTGTGACAGGGTAATGTAGAAACCTAATGCAGTGGAAACTCCCTGGAATCAAAGAGAGTGACCTTAGTGAAGTCTCCAAGGGTATACGGAGCTCAAACTATCCATCTTGTGTAACCAGGTAAGGCTCCCAGCAGTGGGACTGGGATTTGAACCCGGTTACAAAATCTTTACCACCAATCTGTCCAGTGGCCAGCCAATGACTGATCCAACTTGAGGCCCATGCTGCATGACAGAGCTCACACCCAACACTGCCTGAAACCAGAGGTTGGACAGCCCCCAGAGACCCAGGGTAGAACCAAACATAACTGGCAAAAAAAAAGAAAAAAAAAAGATTCCTAATGATATTCTGATATTCTGCTATACTCATGGATTGGTACCTAGCCAAATTGTCATCAGAGATGCATCATCCAGCAACTGATAGGAGCAAATGCAGAGACCCACAGCCAACACTTGGTGGAGCCAGTGGAACCCTGAAGAGAGAGAGAAAGGATTGTAGTAGCCAAAGGGCTTGAGGACACAGCCCTCAGAATCAATTAAGCAGGACTCATGGGGGCTCACAGGGACTGAAGTGACAATCATGGAGCCTGTATGGGTATGAACTTGGTCTGTATGGGTATGAACTTGGTCCTCTGCATATACCTTATGGTTGTGTAGCTTGGTATTCTTGTGAGACTCCCAACAATTCAAGTGGGGGTATCTTTGACTCTTTTGCCTGTGCTTGGGAGCCTTTTCCTTCTACTGGGTTGCCTTATCCAGCCATGATTCAATGGTTTGTGCCTAGTCTTACTGTATCTTGTTAGGCCATGATGGTGGATATCTCTGGAAGATCTGCTTTAAGAGAGAGAGAGAGAGAGAGAGAGAGAGAGAGAGAGAGAGAGAGAAGGAGAGGAGTTGATCTGGGAGAGAGGGAAGGTGGGGGGAGGGACTGGGAGAAGTGGGGGGAGGGGGTGGTAGGGATGTAACATATAAGAGAAGAGTAAAAGTTAAATTTTTTTTCAAATTTATTTAAAAGCATCTTTAAGCCTTTAGGTTGTAATTACAATGCATTTTATTTACATACCTACACACCAATTCTAATAATTATTAATTTTTTATTGGTTAGAACTGGAAGGGAATTTGGATTTGCATTTTGTTTTCTGATTCCTTTTTATAGCTATCAGATTACAGAAGAGGGCTTTTATTAAGGCCAAAGAAGCTAAGCATCTGGTCTGATGGAACTGGGGAAACTAGAACTGTGGCACACAGGGGCACACCACGAAGTTTCTGATGGGCAGCGGGAAGTTTCTCTTCTTTTCTAGGGTTCAGTGCTTCAGGTGACACAGGAGAGTCAGAAGAACCAAGCCCTGAGGAGACCTTTTCTCCTGAGGGTCTGTCGCCTCTGCATCAGTGGTACCCTGGGACAGATGGTCTGGCTTTCGTTCACTTTCATCCCCTCTCCTGGCTTGTGAAATGAGGATATTCATGCATGTCATCTTGGGAAGGGCTGGGGCAGGGGAAGATGTTAGTCAAAGACTGTCAAGCTCTAGTTTTAGTGACCTGTTGCACCACAGAGTGGACGCAGTAGGGATGTACTATGTTTTTCACAAATGCTAAAGGGCCAGCTTTCATATATCTAGACTCTGTAGCAAGCAACAGGGATTGGGAGAGGCAGAAGATGAAAGAGTAGGTAAGGGCCATCCTACAGAGTGATAGATGTGTTCATCGGCCTGACTTTCATCAATGCTTACATGGTAGACCAAAACATTGCATCCCATCCTATAAATGATATGCATAATTATATACTTATCTAATTATATATAATGCTCACACACATTTTGAAGATTGTGTTAAATATGTGGCCTAATATAAGTAGAAAATAAGCAGTCATTTCTTCAAAAATTTCAAATGAAATGTATTTGTCTATTTATTGGGGTGTGTGCATTACAGTTCTAACACCTGCCATACCTGCCTTGGATTCATTTCTCAAGACCAGCTGCACATAGAATTACAGGGACAGAATGTTACTTCCAGCTGCTCTTATCTCAGCGAATTTGCCATAGCTCTTTCAGAGGTCCAGACCCTTTTATTCTGATTCCCTCCACAGTCCCCGTGGAGATGCATTGCCAAGAGCGAGGTTCAGATTTCTTTGCTCAGAACTACTTGGGCTAAGGAGAGACAGCAGAGAGGAGAGAGGTGAGGATCACCCGGTAAATCCTTGCCACCAGGCTTCTTCTGGGAGTGCTGGGTGCCCACGGAGTATTCATGCATCCTCCATCTGGTCCTTGAGAGATTCCGCATGTGTTGGCATGAGGGTGGTAGAAATTAAGGCAGTTGAAACTCCAGTGTCTTGTTTGGTTGTGAGTCTTCGCCAGGTGGCAGCAGAGAACTGGGAAAAATCACAGGATTCATAATTAGCGCCGGTGTCCCTGTGTCTGCCCCCACCCTCCCCCCCCAGTACTGGAAGGAAGTGCCAGATAGGGGGTGGACAGTCGAAATCATCAGTCATCATTTGTGCTAATATAAATGATTGCTGCTTCATCAGTCTGGTTGTGTTCTCTATATATTTTAGAATAAAATTATTAAAATATCTTCTTAGAATCCTGAATGTACCCAGTCTAGAGCAAAACCCCACTTCCTAACTCCTTCATACCACCTAGCACCAACTAAGTGAGCAGCATACTTTTAGATGTGGGATGAATGCTTGGAGAAGGAGATGACAAGAAAAGAGATGATCATATCAAAGTCTTACAGCTTCCTGAAGGAGCCTTGGGTGGCCCCTTGTCTCATGTTTGCAGGAACCAAAAGCCAAAACCCCTGCCTACACTTGCTGTTGACACAGTTCTTTGCTCCAAGACTCCGTTAGCAAAGGATCCCATGAGTCCTCCTGGGGGTAGAGTGTCTGGAGGAAGGAATGAATTTGTTCAGCCCACTGCTTCATCTCCTTCCTGAGCAGCTGAAGAATTCTGATGTGGTTTTGTGGTTTTACAGTAAGCCTCCCTACTCATGTGGACACGGTATGCTTTCAGTTTCAGAAAGTGAGTCAGAGTGACTTTCCTCTTAGGAGTAAGAGTGACCCTTGCTCAAAAGGACATTATGACTAGAAAGAAGAAACACCAGAGGCCACGAGTGCTAGAGTATTTACCACTATAACAGTCACTGGGTTCTGGATGTCATATGTGTCATTTTTTTTTTAAATAAGGTAAACCGTTGGAAGCTTTTCACTAATCTTTGGGAGTAAGACTCTTGCTGCAGAGTCTTGAAATGGACTCAGAGTTTCATTTAATCAGTTAGTCATGACAAGGACATTTCCCAGAGGATTATTAGCTGTTACTATGTTATTATTATTAGCTTTAAGTCTCTTGTCTTTAGGAAGTTGATGATATTGAGCCATTTGACCAGGACCTGAGGAAACTTGGAGGCCTGCTGAGCGGAAAAATTGAGCCTGTGAAGAGCCAGCCAACAAACAGAAAATGTTTCTTAGAGTATAACTCTCTTTCATGGTCCCTTATCCCTGACTTTTCATTAAAATCTGCAGGTACCATCCCCTTTGGCAGCTGCTATGCTTCCCTCCTTTCCCTGAGCATATCAGTGGGATGCTGTGATGTACATCATCACTTCCATGACCTTAATGAGCACTGTCAGTTAGCTGTGGCATTCCTTCATGCTGAGCTCCTTCTCATCCCATGCTCTGGCCAGTGACTCCCAGGGAGCAAAAATGATAGCACTTAAGAAGAAGCCTGTTTACATTTAACTTTGTTCCTTGGAGTCCTTGTGGTCATGGCAGGACTGATATTCTTTCTTGACTAGTTAAACCCACCTGGTTCTGAAAATGAGAAAATGTAGGTACTCTCCAATTCTATAGCTCTG